CCAACAGCAGTGTTATCAAGGATCTCAGGTAGTGTGCTAGAGAGAATATCAGTCATCCTGGCTGCTACCAAGCGAATAGAGGGGACACCAGTGGGTAAACTGATGGGTGCAGCAAGAGCCACAGAAAGTCCCCACAGGTTATGCCGCTTGCCCCATATTCACAGAGCCACACCACAGAACATGCACCATGCTTCCAAGGTACTGAATAGTTCAGTTGCCATCAGTCCCAAGAAGGCCCAGCCACTGCTGGGGGTGGCTTCTTTGAGGCTTGTCATCAGCAGGTGCATCTGCTCTGAGATGCAAAGGAGCGAGCCAGCTAGAGCAGAGAGGCAGCAGCAGCACCAGTACAAGCAGCCGCCACCGCCTCTCAATTGAATAATGCAGGCCCATTTGTTCTGGGTGACATTAATGGTTCTCGCCATCCATCTCAGACTCTTTAAATTACCTTTTTATGGCCAAAATCTTTTTCATAATTGATAAAAATCTCCTTTTTATACCCTGCATTATTGAAAAAAATGTGAAGGTTTTTTATTCCTCATTATCGTTTTAATATAAATGCGTTTTTTATTGACAGCTGCTTGGAAGGCTTGACGAGCCCAGAGGGAGACTAGTGCAAGGGGTGGAGGAATGGTCACATCCTCCCCTCCCATTTTCCAGGGTTACCCTTATGGTTTGAGGGGTTAATGATCAGGGTAACAACCCTAAAAGCCTATTCTTAAGAAAGGTGAAAGATAGAGTCAGACTCACCTGAAAGTATTTGCAAACAGAATACAGTCCTGTCAGCCTTCTCTCTTTCCAGTGCCCACAAACTATGTGCCTGGTAAGGGGAAGTGAAGATGTCCAGCTTCTGTGTTCCCCCCACCCCTGCATCTGCCCACCCTAAGGGTCACCCAGTTAAAGTGATGTTGTTGAGGATCTAACAAGGCATACAAGTACTGAAGCAGAACTGAAAAAAAAGAGTATGGAATGGGCTTGGAGATAACTGCTGCAGGAAATGCAACAGGATCATGCAAAACATGTAACAACATGCTCCCTCCCCACAAGCATTGTGTCAGGGATTATGTACCTCCCTGGTCACATGAGAGGAACACAGTGCTAGAGACACAGAACAGACAACTCTGCAGAAGGTGGGGCAAATGCTGGGAGCGGTTGGAATGAAGCTCTTAGGGATGCAAGTCCGCCCTTGCAGGCCAACTGTCTGCCTGCCATCAAGTTAGTCTCTCAGGGGAGCAGCATTTTGCTTCAAAGCATGACAAATACCAAGCAGTAAGAGTGTGGCCCTTATACCCTGTCCCCCAAGTGCTTCCAGCTCTCTTTTATATAACTAATCCTAATCCAGTAGGCCAGGGTTCATCTGCCATCTACTGGTCAATGGGAGCAAAACTCCTGGATCAGTGATGCGGGAGAGTGCCGTGTACATAAGAGGAACTCCCCCTGAGTATGATGCGGGGCTGGGGCAGGTTCCAAAAAGCCTGTTGCTTGGTCTACTATTTGATCTGTTCAGTGGCTTTATTCAGATAGTAAGTTTAACCTCCCCTGAGCTCACAGACAAGTTTTATTAGAGCCCTGAGGACAAACTTGGAGAACAGGAACTAGCAGACTGGACTTGTGTCACTAGGGACCCGAGAAAAAATTCTAGCGTGATCAGGAAGATCCAGAAAGACCTACAGATTCTCCCAGTGAAAACCACACAACAAGATCTAACTTAAGGAAGCTGTGAGAAGAAATCACATTTGAGAAGGATGCTCCTCACCAAGACAAAGAGCTACATGCACTAATAAAGGTGATCTGAGAGGACAGAAACAGAGGACATCAGTGAGCTGGAGAGAAGCCCAGACATGTGCCTCGTGAAAGATGGGGGTTAACAGGTCTGGAAAGGGTAGTAGAGCTTTCTGCTGCAGAACTTAAGATTCAGATTCTACCACTGGCCCAAGGTGGGAGTTCCTACAGCAGCAGGATTTCCCATAACCCTGCACAATAAGTGGTAACCACTGTATACCACACAAAGGCTTTTACCCTTTGTTGAAACATCAGTAGCATTAGCCACATCGTTTCTGCAACATTTCTCCAAATACATGCTATATTTCTTTTTCTTCATGTACACAAAGCATTACTAAAATACTGTATTTTCTCACATACAACACGTTTGTTTTTTCCCAGAAAAACAGCTGCTGGCAATTGGAGTGCATTATATGCGAGAAATATGGTAAGAGCATCTCTCTGCGACAAAGGTAAAGTCTTCACATGATCTACAGTGATCAATAAGCTCAGCTCCCTAGCTAGCTGCTGCTACTCAGTTACTACAAAGAAAGACCTTTCTTCATTCTGCCTTTCAATAACAGAGCATGTATCTTATTCCAGGGTGCATTTTACACAAGAATACATGGTATTCTCAGTGGAGGTCCCAGCAAGGTCCCCAGTCGTGCCATTTCCTCTCTGCCCTAAGACCTGATGGTACACAGCACATGCAACCCAACAGAGCTAGCTTTCTGCTACTACTCCCTAATAATTTAAAGCAGGACCAAAAGGGAATTGGCAAATTCATGGAGGACAGGTCCATCAGTGAGTATTAAACACAATAACTGGAGATGCAACCTCCAAATTAGGACTCCCAGGGTCTCTGAATGCTGGAAGCTATGGGGGGGGCATTTATTTCTTGCCCCATATATTGAGCTCATGAAGGAGCCTGATCTTACCCCCACTAAAGCCAATAGACGTTCAGCCACTAACTTATACAGCAGTACAACTGGGCTCCAGGTCCATTATAGTTATTACTTCAGTTCAATTTCTGTTTCTAGATGGTTTCAGCTGCTGGTTCCCAGGCAGGATGCTGTTGGGGTCAAGAGACTCATGTATACCATTTCTGCAAAGCTTAGAAGAATGCCAATGAGAAACATGCTTGAGAGCAGTGATAAGTGCCCTCAGGGTGGCTTCAAAGCCTCATTTCCAGATTTGCTGCATGTGGAGTTGGTGGGTGGGGTGCGCTTCTCAGCAGCAAATCTCAAGAGTGCTGCAGGGCAGTACAGATGTGCCTTGGGCTCCTGACCTCACCAGGAACATTACCGTATTCAGTTTCCACTTCCCAACTTCCCTAATAATCCCCCACCCAAATCCCAGTTCTCAAATGGGAATTTTATTGGAAAATACAATGGACATATTCCTTAACCAGGATTCGGATCACTTCTAATGTGATTCCCTAGTATCCTACCGGCTCCAGCAAGGAGGACTTTGGCACATGAGGTTTTCAAACCCCTTTGTGTTTTTACCTACTTTGACTCAATCCCTTATAACTACTGGCCCTAAGCAACTGCCTTTGGCCTCATAACAGTCCAGTCCCATCAGCTTCCTTCTTTTTATTCATTTCTCTTTCCCCTCTCTGTCTTCTCACTTTCATTTGCTCATTAGCATTCCCTCTCATTCCCTTTTTCTATCTCTCGCTCACTGTCTCTCTAAAATTAAATACCAACCCAGCACTGCCCATGTGGGTGAAGTGAATGCTAAGAGGAAAGGTTGCTACCAAGAGGGTGATCCAAGCTGTCTTGCTGGGAATCAATGAGGCATGGAAGGCTCGGCCAGCTCCTGAAATGCTGAGAGAAACCACGGCGGAGCTGTGGCAGCTGAAAATGCATTTGAGAGTAAAGGAACAGGCCTATCGCTGAGCACCCTGGTCAGCTGCAGAGAGAAGCCATGCCAGCTGAACTAGAGATAGCTGCTTTCATATTTTAATACAGTCAGTCCCAGTGTGGCTTTCATCTTCATCCAGGATGGGAGAAGCTGGCTGGAGCTCCACATGAGGTGGAAGCTGAGGAATGGGTCCTGTAGGGAACAGGTATACTGGTCTGCTCCATACTCCAGCTATCTGCTACACTGTGAATCCAGCTGGTACCAACCTAGCTACAAAGCTGAGGGGTGGTTGGTCACAATTACAGGTAGTGCCGAGCCAGGTCAAAAAAATTAACCTTAATTCTTTGCCACTAAAAAGCATACAGTTGCTTATAACTAATCCACATAGCCAGGCATGATCCAATACATCCCAGGCATGATCCAATACATCCCCCCTTAACCCATGGTTGTAAATTGATGTACCCTGGCATGCATGTGCATGTGTCCATGCATGCACACGCGTACACACACACCACTCCAATGCCCACCAACACCCCAACCCTTTTCCCACTCCCCATAGCCTCTACCCTTCCCTTTGCACAAGGCAGCCCCACTCCCCCTGCACTGCTATTCCCACTGTTTTGCACCACACAGACATGCATAGTTGATGCCTTCCTCCCTGCATCCCCAAGGCTCCTCACCCTGCAACAAGGGAAGCTGTCATCAGAAGGGATTAGATGAAAAACAGCAGGATGCCATATTGGTTTCTTTGCTCCTGACTCCTAAGGGTTAATGGTGACAGGGCCTCCTTTGCTACCCTGTTATCTTGTGTGAGCACCAAAAGTGATTGATGTTGTTATTAAAGGGATTTATTTTTTTTCCATTTGGGGTTAATTAGGGGCTTGTGAAAGTAAAGGGCTGTCAGTGCCAGCTAGAATTGGTCTGAAGCAGCCAGGGGCAGTGCAATCTACACATGCACAACTCTGCCAGCGCGCCATGCTCCGTAACTGCAGCATCCCCTGTACTCAACTCCTGGAGATGCCCACAGCTCTGCTCACAGCCCTCAGTCCTCACCTGCAGTACCTCTGTTATTCTTGTCATGGGCTCTTCACATATAGCTTTGCTAAGGTTCCCATCCCACAATTCTGCTACTGCCTCCTCTTTTTTTTAGGCTTCACCAACCATGTGCACAGACATATGGGAAACCTGTGAGAGCTCTACCACATTTTCCCCAAGGATAGGCTAAGACGACTCCCGCTACCATCTCTTTCAATGTTTGGCTTCCAATGTACATGTGCCCTCCTATGGCTGCAGATTACCACACATGGTTATCCAGAGGCACCACACCCTGCAGCTGACTGCCTGGTAAGGTATACAAGGGACAATGTCTTTCCTACCTCTTTGCCCAGATCCTCTTGTATCACTTGTTTGATTTCTTGCATGCTGCTCTGTGGGGCCTGGCTATGCAGCACCTTGAGGGTGTGGGTGTATTCTTCAGGCAGAAGGTAGTCTAGTGCTCCTAGGTGCTGTCCCACCTTGATGAAAGTGCCTCGGTTGGCACAGCACAGGTCCCGGAGGCGTTCTGCAGAGCGAAGGTGCACCTACAGAGAAACCAGGACATCAGCTGAGCTGCTTTCTCAAACCTTTTGCTTCTCATCATCCCACCACCCTTAAAATTCTTATTCCCCTACTCTTATTCTTCTAAACTGGATTAATTTGCTTATTTGGCTCTGTATCTGCACCATCTATCATGTCAGATGAACTCTAGGACTGCATTTTGTTGATTTAGAGAGCTGAGGGGAACCAACGAAGAACACTCCAGCATATAAAAGCTACAAGCTCCTGTTTAAAATGTATGTGAAGCCATGTCTCAGTGAGAAAGCAGCAGATCAAAGAAAGACAAAAAGTGCAGAGGTCACCTAGAGGATGTCCCAGCACAGATGCCTCCCGGAAAATGTGGAAAGACATTCTATTTAAAGACATGTTTAGAAAACAATTGATGTCAATTTAGCCCTAGTCAATGGTACTGGATAGGCAGCCCCTCAGAGACTGGATCCTACTTATCAGCAAAATAGCTACAATCTGAACTACAGCAGTACCAGGATTTATTACGCATACTCTTCTACCAGCCCCTTTCTCCCTGTCCCAGTTCCAGGGGTGAGGTTAGGGATCAGTTTCCAGGGTCCCATCAGTTCTTAGCCTCTGCTCAGTCAGCCAACAGAAAGCATCCCCATGACAGCTATCATACAAGTTTCAGTGATGCAGACACCAGGAACTGATACGTGCAGTACCCCCACTCTAACTCATGGCACTTCACAGAAAGTGCCATGAGTTACAGTGACCCCCCAGACCCAACAGGCATTTGCTGTTGGGTTGGGAGGGTGCAAGGGAAAGAAATCAAGCTCTGCTTTGGATCCAATCCAATGGAGGAGTTGCCTGCCTGCAGCTTCTCTCCACACCACCCCCCACCCCCAGCTCTCCCACATCCCCACCCACAGCTCCAGGGCTGTCTTCAGAAAAGGAGGAGGGATGGGGAAGAGGAGAGAGCTGCAAGCTGGGGTTTGCCCAACTGAGCTGGAGAGGGAGGGGGCTGGGAGGGAGGCCACAAGGCAAGAGAGCTCCAATCCACCTTCCAGCTCAGGTTGGGCAAACACCAACCCACAGCTCCCTCTCCTCCCCCCATCCCCACTCTCTTCCTACAGACAGCACCAGGGGTGAAGCTGGGCTGCATTAGCCCAGTCCCAATCATGCACAGAGTATGCGGAAGTTACCTAAGGCACTCAACTTCAGAGTGTCTTCATCTGATCATTAGATGAGGGTTAAAATTTGTCACATGATCAGCCACTTTTAAAGCACTCTGCAGCCATACATGTGTCATGGCTTGTCTGTAGAGCACTTTCAGGGAGCCAATCACACAACAAACGTTACTTTTGTCAGCACCCCAAGAGACCAACCACTGCAGATAATCACTGTCCAGGTCTGTATTTCAGCTGACAGCACTGGCTCTCTCTCAAGAAAGTACTAAGTACCAAACCCTCTAATGACAATGATATATTCTGTTTACATTACTAGTAGGAAACATCCCCATCAGGGGGACAGATTTAGTCAGTAGTCTACTAATGGATTTCAATTGAATTTATCCTGCTAAATTAATAAAATGCAAGCAAATATACAAAAACACATTCCCATCCCTTTCTACAGCTGGCTGCCATCTGCACAGCAGTGGCAAATACCTCATGGTATTGGGTGTCAGAGTTCAGCAAAGTCCAAATCCTTGCTGCAGTTCTGGCATGAATTCCCTCTCAGGGACATGGCTAAAGACACCAAATCCTCACAGTTCACAGCTGCTTGCTCAGGTATTCAGAAACACTGGCTCAGAGAAATTATCCAGAACTCAAACAAAAAACAGATTCACCTTGAAGTTGGAAAAATCAAGTGCTCAAAAGTTAGGAAACAGTTTACTCTTAACTCTGTCCCCAACCACTGCTTACACATATACACACTCTCCTTAAACTATTACAAAGTGTTCATCTATGAATAGCAGGACTTTTGCATCCAGTCTCACTCTATTGCTTACACACTCCTCAGACTTTGCTGTCAGTCTTTGTAATCAAGTCACCTGACAGCCTATCACCTGAAGCTCTGGGATGAAGAGGTCAATGGACCACTCTACCATAGAGTAAATCTTCTCTCTCCAGAAGACAGTTTTTTTGTCAGGAATTTGTTCTACAGCCTCAGACCAAACTCTACAGAAATCAAAGGCCAGCATAATCCTCACCAACCTCTGCTCCAAGGACAAGGCCCTGCCTTTTCCAATATAACAGTGAACAGTGTATGGATAAAAACTATGCATAAAGCAGAAACGTACCAAACCACACAGTATACTGCACACACAATTCTCTCTGGGGAAGGCTCAGAGGTAGAAAGAACCAGATGACAGATGTTATCAAGACCCAACACATGCTACACTCAGTCTGACCCACAGATCATATGAGTTGCTGGCACCACCAGCTCCAGAACCCCAGCTCTTTAGCTGAAGCAGTTTGTGCTTTTCACTCTGCAAGTTTTTGATTCAATTCACCACATGTCAAGCAAGGAACAGTTTATGTATCAGCAATGTCAGTTAATGAGATGCAGGAAAGAACCCAGGGGTGGCAGTGATTTGTACAGAAGAACTTATGAAGAACAGATTTCTTCACGAAGCCAAGTTTGAAACCTGGGTCCAAGCTCTCACTAGGGCAGTTCAAATGTAGGGCCCTAAACTTCCAAATAGGGCTTTTCCAAAATACTGAGAACCTAATTAGAGCACATCCTCTAGCATTTGCCAGAAACCAAGGGATGCCCAATTCAAGAATATTTGTATGGGGTTCACAAGTTTAAACCCCCTCCAGGTGAACTCTTGTCAGAGAACAATCATCTGACACTCCTGGGGACATGAGTGCAGATGGCATTTGGGCAAAATGGGCTTACATAGGACTTCATTCTCACATTTATTCAAAATAAACTAGAGCACACGCATGCACATGTGTGTAAGCATGTCATCTCTGTGCTCTTATCTGCACTTTCCTTGCCAGTTCAATGCCTTGGTCCGATATTCAGAGCCATCAAAAGGCCTGGACGCAGCTACAATTGGCCTCTAGGCAAATGCACCTAACCACGGCCAGATGAAGCACATAGGTGCCAGAACAAATCACTCTCGGTGGAAGGGATTCAGCCGTGAAACAAGATACTAGAGAAGGGCAGAATAATCCAGAGCTGGATATCTTACAGGGCACTCTACAAAACCTCTCTCTTTGACAAAGCATTTCTCACTATACCTCCATAGAAGAACCTTAAGCCCAGTGACAAGAGCAGAAGTCTCAGGATGTCCACAGTGGGCTTCCTTTGCCAGCCTCATTCAAAAGAACACCACAATACTATAGGAAATCTTAGAGAAAAATCAGACAGACAGGTATATGTGTAAACAGAAAGATGCACAGCAGAAACACACATTCAAGTACACACACTGCATGTGTATGTATAACCACAATAGGAGGTGCCCACACACAATGCCTACTCAAAGCCACCCACAGACTTGCACAAAATGCTGCCTGAATCCCCCAGACCCACAGAGGACACAAGTAAGACTGCTGGATTTAATGGGTTTCCTTTGATAGTTCTGTTGTGACAAACAGTCCCCTGCTTGACCAGGATGCTCCCCTTCCCCGTCCTTCTGTGCGTGTCTGCCCGTGTGTGGGGAAGAAAGACAGTCAAAGAAAGGGAGTGATGAAGGCAAGAAATGAAACAGGAAGAGCAAGAGAGTTAGAAAGGGAGTAATAGGGAATGAAAGAGAGGGAGTGGGAGGGAGAGAGCCAGAGCAGCTGGGCAGTTTGTCACAGCACAGGGAGTACAGCCCATTACAGGGAAACAGCTTTTATGCAGCCTGGATAATTGTCCTCGACACTGTCTCCAGCAGAGGATTAAAAAAAATAAAGTCCAGCAGCCAGTGAAGGTTGGAGGGGAGTCACTGTCTACAGCTCCCCAGAGCTTGTCTGTATTCCAGAGGAGATGGAGGGCAGGCTGGGTGAAGCATGCTTGTCAGGGGGACGGGAAAAAAGCGTTTCCAGTCCTGGCTCTTTTTGCTCAAGCTCTGGACTCTTCCGTGTTAGAAGAATGTCAGGCCAGGGCTCTGTGAACTCACAGAGACACAGTAGGAGCCACAGACGAGCTGTTTTGACAGAGCTTGGGGCCCTGGCCAACCCAAACACAAGGACACAGAGTCAAACCACTGTCTCCTGCATGGCTTAGCGCAGAACACAAAGCAAGAAGATGAGCCAGGGACTGAAACATAGGGCTAAGCATCAACAACATTGGTTTCTTGCACAGTACTGCACGATATCAAGTACCAAGCTGGCCTGGACAGGATGGACTAGGTTTAGGGAACTGAATTACAAGGTCATATTGCCCACTAAACATTGGTCAGGCCCAGAAAGTGAAAGAGAGCTGGGAATAAAATCCAAGTTGTCTGTGTAGGACAGGGCACTAGCACCAAGCTGGTGAGGGAGCACGCAAGCAAGGCTGCAAATCATTCACCTGTCAAAATCTCTACCCCATCAAAAAGAATTAGTAAGGCACAACCATCTGTACTTGATGTCAAAGACACTCCATCAGGAAAAAACACCCTCTCCAGCCCCTCACTGACACAGATCACTAGGGCTCAGATGCAAAGAAAACCCTCACCCCCCTGTATCACGGCTGTGAAGAGAGCAAAACTAGCCTAGACCTCCTCTGGCACAAGAGCAGAGGAAATTCAAGTTCTACAGAATCTTTACATCCCTTAGTGAACCCCAACTATCTCATGGACATAACTCCTCACAGGGACAGCTGGTATCTTCCACTTTTTGAGAGAAGGACAGCCACACTGAGAATGCCAGGAGCAAGAGAGCAGAAACTAAGACCCAGTTCCCTTCTCCCACAATAATTTGGCCCGTTTATGCTAGAAGCAGTGACAGAAGTGCTACTGGTTCTCAGGGACAATCCCTGACAATGTACCCAAAATGTTTGGAACTGCTGCCAGCAGACAGATGTTGCCAGCCTTGGCCATTTTCAAGGGGCCTAGGCCAAGCTGGAGAAGTATGGCTAAGCAGAAGACCCCAAAGCCTGTTTTTGAATGACTGTACAATGAACCTCTTTAGACATGACAACTAGCTTGGTCAACAAAGTAAAGCAAGCCATCAACATGTCTAACTAAACCAGCAATGAGATTAAATTAAACAAAGCACAAAGCCTGAAAAAGACATTACATAATCCATTACATAATATAATACTATATCATAGCTTTAGCTTAAACTAATTGATAAAAGCAAATGTATTGGATGTTGTTTTGCTATAATAGATGCAGTTTTGTTACAGTTCCAGGTAAGTTGTAAATAAATAAATAAATAAAATAAATAAGTACATAAAAGCGGAAGACTATACATTTTGGGAAAGAGAAAAACAGGATAAGGACAAGAAATATTCCACAATGGTGAAGAAAGGAAGAGATAAGAATCCTTCATTCCAGAAGCATAATTTTCACAGAAACATAAATCCCAACTAATTGACACCTTTCACATCCACAGGAAAACTGGTTCATCCAGTTCCAAAAGTTTCAGTAAAATAAAGAAAGTTGAATAAAACCTAATCAGATAACATTTATTAGACTATTTAGAATAAGCCATATAATAAATATGGGGGAAAGGCTGGAGGGAAATTTGGAGAACTCAGCAAATTCAAGAAGACCTGCTACCAATCTGTGTCCCACCATTCTCCTATCCCTTAGATTCTTGCCTAAACTGGCTGGGGAGATGTTATGTTGTGCTGTCATGGGTAGCTAGATACACTTGGAGATAATTATTTGTTTCATGTTTTGAAGTGCAAGCAAATAAAAGGTCAAGCCATACACCTATTGTTGCTTCTTCTATCAGCAGCCAGCCTGCAAAGTTACCTGTAATCTGGGTAACACTATCAGCACCTGCTTTGAGGAGGGGAACTATCATTAATTCTGACACACATAGTCTCTAACCAGTAATAAAAAGACACCATAATTTATTTTAGAGGTTTTGCAAGGCTTTCCTCTAATATCTAAACTCCCATTTCTTAGGAATCTAAGAAAAACCTTTTGGACTTCTCAATACAATTTCACACCAAGATAGTATATAATGCCCAATTTAATCAGCAAGCAGCCAGAAGATTCCCCTCTTACCAGGTATAAATTTGGTCAGTGTTCATAATCTCCAACTGGCTAACCACCATAGCTGCCACAAATATGATACCTGGCACCCTAATTACAGGTCCAATCTTGTACCACAGAAGTCAACAACAGCTTCAACATGGACTCACTTACAGGTTACAAGATCAGGCCTCACTTACAGATTTCAGTTCAAGGTTTCTACCCAGAACTCAAAAGACCTCTATAGGATTGGCCAAGCAGTTTGAGATACCTTATATCTGCAACCATCATTTCCCACAGCAGCTATATTCCACTAGCTAAATGAAATGGCCAACCATGGGAAAGGCTCATGATGGCTTAAGACAGAAACTCTCACAGGAGCTAAGCCCAGATGATGGAACCCACTCACATGAGGCATAAGAATGGACAAAGATCACACTGTGTTCAAAACTGAATGAAATACTCCTTATTTTAATCTTGCTTTCCTTCACTAAGCCAACCTGCAACAATTTAGCTTGTGGGGATGGTGATTTATGACCCTGTTAGGGCAACAATTAAAAGCCTCCCAAAGGGTTACCAAACTCAACAGCATAAGGACAATGGTGCCAGCCCCACTGCTCTGAGTTCAGTGCTACAATGCTCACAAAGCTGATCACAGTCCACTAAACATAAATCCTAACAACTACAAAAACGAAGTCACCCCTGGAAAGCATCTCAGATTACAAATGTCTCCCTGTATGTCAGTGTGCATGTCTCAGCTTTCCCACTCTCTGCTAGAGCCAGTCTTTCTCCATCTCTTTTATAAAAAGATTAGGGGAAAAGAAAAAGGGAAAGTAGTAATTCAGCAATGTAGAATGGAGTAGTAAAAGCCAAAACCACACAAGTAAACTAGGCTCTTAAAACAGAACTTAAGAATTTAGGTGCCTAAATCACAAGAGGTGGTCCAGAATAGGGCCCTCCACTGGCCACAAAATCCCTTAGGTGCCTAAGTTTATCTGACACCTTATATTTTGGAGTACATTGATCCCTAGGCACCAAATCTTAGACTTTCATATATGTTAGGAAGCACCTCAGCATGGACACCTCAGTGCCTACCTCCCTCAAGTGCTGTGCTTTGTTCCTTGCAGTCAGACCTAAGGAAGAATGCCTTGCACATGAAACTTGTCAAACTCTATCCCAACTACATAGTTGATCCAATAAATGATATCATCCTAAGAAGTGCTCGTCTCACCTAATTTCTGGACTATCACAACTACAATATCACTCTTACACTAGCAATACAGAATGGAAGCAGAGCAGCACTTGAACTCTGCTTCCCTAAAGGGGCCTAATCTAGATGAGCACACCCAACAGCTCAGAGCTCAGTACAGAGCAAAGCAGCAGCCAGTCACCATCCCTCCAACCATGGTCAGAGGAACAGGAGGAGGTGGGTTCTAGTCCTTGCTTACAAGACTGTTCATGAATTAGACAGTACTTGAATAAAAAATAAATAAATAAAAGGAATAGCCCAGGCAGCAGGGACTAAAACCCTTCCCAGGGGAACCCATCCCTGGGCTATAGACAGGCTCCCTCCCACTTTATCTGTTCCTGGCTCCATGAATCTTGCACCCCTTTCTGCACAGTGGCAGTCACCCTCAGGCATTTCTATGGTTCTGGGGTTAGTACATTCCTCCAGGAAGCACAACATGTAAATCTTTGTGCTCTAAACACTAGGGCAGAAAGTGGGCACCATAAACAGTGCTACTCAGATAAGCACTTACACTCAGAAGGCTCAGCACTCTGGAGCCAGAGTAGACAGAGGAGCCTCCTTCACAGCCCTGACTCAGGCACTTGAGCTTCACTGCGGGGGGTGGGAGGTCAGACACAATCCTGTGCTTAGTGCCTCCTATTGGCTACACCTAGGCAGCTCCTTGCTCAGTGTCTGGAGTCTCTGAATTGCCCTTCAGGGGCACCTGATTTTCCTTGTCGACTGCCTTAGAATCCTAGATACCTCAGCCTGGTTCCTTGAGTAACCCTCAAGTGCGTGGCACCTACTTTTTAAAACACTGTTGACTCCTAAACTGGAAGCACATAAAGGACCAATCTCTTTTTTTCTGCCAGCAACAGGAGAGAGAAAGTAACGTTTGTAGAAACACCTAAGTGACCGCTGACTTTCAAAGGGACTCAGGCTCCCAAATCACTTCAGCAGTTTTAAAAAAATTACCCAAGTCTTAATGAACAGTTCCCAGGAGCACACA